GTGCTGTGAATGAGGTAAAGTCTAAGGAATGTGGAACATGGTACAACATGGGACAGAAAAACAGACTGGAATGTGAAAAACAACACATAATTCGTAACAGAATCTAAGATGAACATATACGAAAAGGTGAATGGTGATTGGTGAAGAAGCCTCCAGAAGCCTCCAGGTTTTGGTCAAAGTCTTCCCATTAACCAAAGAAGTAGGTTCATGGCCTTGGACATGCACTCATAGCAAAAAGGCACGTAAATGAATGAAACGCATAGGCAATATCATGCTAATGGAGCAAACAGTAAACAGAGGCGGAGCTTAAGATGGGAGGAGAAATGGGTGGAACAGAAGGAGAAACAGAGATGGAATAAATGTTAATAAACATGAATCAAAGTGTATAAATGTGGAAAGAACTATTGTTCATTGTAGTCCCCTGGTTCACAGGCTGTGTGTCCGTGAGGGACTCTTGTCCAAAGCTGTCTCCATTTTGAATAAAGCTGCTTCGAGCAATGTGTGCAAGTAGCATTTGCTCCCTGCTTGCTCTGGCAGGATCCATGAGAGATTGAATCTTCATCTCCCTAGTTGTTGGGCACTGCATGAAGTCAGGGTCTAACATGAGAGAGTACAAATCGTGACAAAATTGTAAAGCCTATACACATGTCTTCTTTGAAATCATGAAGCTTCTCCCCCAGAGCTGTAGATCATCTTGCTTTGCCTTAGCTGGTCAAGCAATTTAGCTGAACCTCAACCCCACCTTCCTGCTCCCAAAATCACCCCTGTCTCTTCCTCTCTCCTGTCCAAAACTTCTCAGGATGTTCTGTGAGTCTGGTTGGTAGGCATCCCCCCACCAATATCTTGGTTTCTTTAATCTATCTACTCCCTGCAAACAAATTCCCCATGCACATGGACAGACGAGGTTCTTTGAGTAAATGTGATATCTTTTATTACACAAACTAAATAATTGGAAAAATTGTTCTTTGCAAGCTTTGGGGCACAAACACCCTCCTTCAGGCATAGGGAGAGTATGCTGGGGTTTTGTGTGTTCTTCTAGGTAGAATAGGAAAATGTTAGCAATTTTAGGACGAATGTATTTATAGTGAGGGTTGCCAACATCTGGAATGGGTTTCCAAGGGAGGTGGTGCTCTCCCCTACCTTGGAGGTCTTTAAGAGGAGACAAACAAGCACCTAGCTGTGGTCATCTGACCCCAGCGCTCTTTTCTGCCCACGGCAGGGATCGGACTCAATGATCTACTGAGATTCCTTCCGACCCTAAAAATTTATGAAATCTATGAATAGAAGCCAATATGTAGAATGCAGGTCTGTGAAAATGCAAATGCATGGCATTGAGGATGAGAGGGATTGGGGGGAGCTGCTGCCAGACTGAGGAATGGGGATGGGGAAAAAAGTTCTTTTTGTGAAGCAAGCATGTACTGAACACAGCAATTTGCAAAGCATACAACAGAAAACTACGAAAAATCTTTACCTAAGCTAAGATACAGCCCAGTAGTACACACCATACGCAACTTAATCTAACTTAAAATGTAAAGCAGGAAGACAAGAGAAAGCCTTGCATAAGTTTTACTAATCCTGAGGGCAGAGTG